AAACCAACTCCTTGTTATGCCCATTACTTTACTCAACAACAACAAGCTGTTCCTTGCTATGCAATTCTTGACAATTGCAGCAGCTGTTCTTATGTCCTGAAAAGCACAGCTGATACCTTACAGTGTAAGTCCAGTCATTTAGTTGAATTAAGCATTCGTGATACTTTCAGTGAGGACACTGTTTCGTCAAGTCTGATGCAAATACACATTGAACATTTCAACTCCACTTCTCCTACCTTTACTCTGCAAGCAATCTACTCGGTGGAAACGCCCAACTTCGATTTGATAGGTGTCGCAAAACTGAACAACCTATGTTCCTGGTCTGACCATCTACGATACATTGCGTTTCCTAATCTCCTCGAAAAGTCGGGACACATTCTACTCGGCATCGACGTTTTCTGGCATATCGCAGAGAAGGAAAATTTGAAGGGCCCTGTCGGCAGTCCGTATGGAGAGCGCAACTTACTGGGTTGGACGTTAACCGGTCCGCTTCATCAAAACTAATTAGATGATCAGTGCAATGATGAAATAACCAATTTCATAGATTTAAAGCAACACGAGGATGATTCCTTAAAACAAATTGTTGAAAAAATTTGGAAAGTGGAAGATTCCGGCACAACTTTTAACTTAACTTAACTACCACTTCCAAGCAAACATACTACGCAATAAGAGTTATTGAAACAAAGCAATCAACATGACGGAGCTCGCTACTGAATCAGTTTGCTTTGGAAGAGCAACACAACGATGCCAAACAACTATGTTGTTGCTAAAGCTCAAGTTGAATCTCTATAAGGATGACTACAAAAGGACAAACTCACGATCCAACTCTACGACAAGTCATTATCAACTGATATTGATTAAAGTTATGTGATACCCATAACTCTCCTACATCCCAACATGGTAACTGCTGCACCGTAAGACCCCAGAAACCTGGTAAAGTTCGACGTGTAACAAAAGCTGCATCGAAGTTCAAGGGCATTTCTCTCAACTCTTGTTGAGAGACGGGACTGTATCTACTTAGTAACATGTTTGGTTTGTTATTGAGGTTTGGAGAAGAACCACTAGCAGTTTCTGGTGATATTGAAAGCATGTTTATGCAGATAGTTATAAAAGAAGACGATCAAAAGGTTCTATAATTCTTGCGGCCGACTAATAAAGGAGTTAAGCAGTATCAGTATACGCGTCCAGTCTTCGTAGCTAAGTGCTCGCCTGCAATAGCCATCTTCGCACTACATCAAACAGTAGTCGACTTCTGCAACAAAGAACCCAACATATAGCAACTAATTCTTATTCGCTTCTACACGGATGACTTGGTTCATTCCTATGACAATCTACTGAAGCCCAGGAATCAACAAAAGCTTTAAAGGTGGCACTAAAAAAGCATGTTTCAAATTAACCAACTTTATATCGAGTACTAAGGAGTTGCTTGATTTCCTCAACAAACACAAAACTGAAAAAAAAGATCTCATCGGGTTTGGGAAGTGAAGTGGGATACTATGAATGATACGCTCATTATTCAGCCCGTACTGAAAAACAATTTAACGGCTGAAGGATTGTCTCAACGTAAAATTCTGTCTACTGTAGCCAGAATCTTTGATACACTGGCGTTGTCAGCATCATTTGTCATAAGTCTCAAAATACTGCTTCAAAAGCTTTGGCGATCTGTTGTTTGAATTTTTTCAAGAAGTTCCTCAAGAATATATCCCGATTATCGATAAATGGACCCGACAGTGTGGACAAGAAAACAGGGTGAAATTACCAATTTTCATAGGCCAAATCAACAGGCACATCGATATACAACTACAAGTTTTCACCGATGCCTCTGAGTGCGCCATGGCAGCTTGCACATTTATCCGTATTTCGAACCAAGCCCATAAATATTTATCATTTATGGTTAGAAGAAAGCATATCCAAGCTCGAATTGCAAGCTGCAGCAATTGGTGCACGTCTTTGCAGTTACAACCGAAGAACCTCGACTAAATTTCAACACCATTGATTTCTGGACGGTAGTACGATAGTAAATGCATGGATGAACATTCCGGAAAAGCAAAAATCTTACATGCTAACATAATTAACGAAATTCTGTCAGTTTCTGAAACCCAATATTGGCATCATATACCCGGTAAATGGGACACGGTTGATCACTCTACAAGAAGTTTTCCACTTCAGGACGTGGAACGAACATATTTGGTTGGAAACACCGGAAATTCTACGCTCACCAACCTCAAGCAAAACTACAGGACGACACAATTGCTCAACCGGTTTTCAGAAGTTTAGATAATGCGAGAACTACACGACAGAGTTACTCAACCGGTTTTCACAACAACAGATGAGGAGAGAAATACTACACTATAATTCGACCGTACAATTCTACATACCAACGCTATGGTGAAACGGGAAAACATTTCTACTAGCGCAAAAAGGAACCAATTATTGATGTTTTAAAATTTTTTGATTGGCATCGTCTACTCCGCGCAAAAGCTCGTGTTGTACAGTTCTTGGACATTCTTCAGCAGAAATTAGAACGCGATTCAACAATAGACGACCGGGAGATGGCTAAAACTCTAATCTACGAGCAATCACAACACACTACTTTCCCTGAAACTGTTAAACGCTTAACTAACAACAAAGCCTTGGACAACAAAGATGATTTACTGCCATACTTACCATTCATGGATGATAATCTTACTCGTGCACGAGGACGACTGAGATATTCACAAATGCCAGATGCATCTAAGTACCCTATTAATCTAACCAAAGGAGCCTTGGACACAACTTATGACCAAAAACGCTCATCATAAAGGCATGCATCTCGGCACCAGATTTGTACGACACTACCTGCAACAAAACCTCATAAGTTTGGGTCTCAGAAACACCTTGAGACCCTCGCCACCACTGTTTCTTAAGCCGCCTATTTCAAAGGGAAGGTTAAAACCCTTTTATGCCTGATCTACCCGCACAGCGCTTCGATGACTCGAAAACTATTCCGTTTTCATTCAAAAACGTTGGACTGGACAATATTGGTCCATATTAAATTGTTGAAAAAGATACGACAGAAAAAAAACTACATTTGTCTCTTTACTTGTTTAACAACTCGTGCAATCCATCTGGAAACTACCGACAATCTAACAACTGAAAATTGCTTGACAGCGGTTCCTAGAATCATGACGCGACGTGGTTCTACTATACCAATTCTTTTGGTTAACGCAGCAGACTTTCTCGCCGCACGTGAGCAATTCATGAAACAATCCTTAAAATTCAACAAAGACGAAATAGCAACAAAGCTTCAGCTGAAGTCAATCGACTGGTGTCTTAACCCACGATCTGCTCCTCATTTTGGTGGGATGTGGGAAATTCTCGTTTCGATCATCAAACGAGTCGTTCTATTGAATTTAGGATCGGACAGACTTCCAGGGATCTTTTTTCAATTATTGTAGTGGAATGCGAAAGCTTCATCAACTCAAGATCACCGACTCTTGTAAGTTGCGCCATTATTGACAAATTACCACTTACACCTAACCACTTCCTACTTAAGAGGCCTTTCATTTATGGTCCCGTAACTTCATTCTACGACCAAACAATACCAACGAACTAAGCAACAAATCCTGGAAGCGAACCAAGGACCGACTAGACATCTTCTAGAAGCGACTATTGAAAGAATACGCTCCCAACCTGATCAAACGAACTAAGTGGAAGCAAAAAAGGGAAACCATAGACAAAGGTGACCTCGTGTGGATCCTCAAAGACTTCATTCCACGAAGCGTATGGCCCCTGGGTAAGGTTCTTGAAACGTTTACCGGTCCTGATGGCGTTGCGCGCTCATGCGTAACCAAAACAGCGTTAGGAACACTTACTAGGCCCGCGGTGAAACTAGCTTTAGTAGAACCAAAAACGGATTTTTAGACCTCACTAGCAATTGTGATACCAAGTCCTGCTTACAGTTCGCTGCAAGCAATCTACTTAACAATCTCCCCTTTTCTCGATTGGGGGGAGATATTGTTAAGTAGATCCGAAAAACATTTCTTCACATTCTCAGATTGTTGTCAAAATTGACAAAGTGCACTAATAAAGCCATTAAAGACATATCAAACTAATGTAAAACATTGTAAAACCACCCATTAGACTATAAGATTGATGCTCAGGCGAGGGACAGGAAAACAGACCAAACTTTTGCTAAAAAAAGTTTCAAAGTTGTTTTTATAAGTTCTAAAGGCTAAGTTTTTACGATAGATATAATAACCACCTAAAAGATGACAATTTAAGACTTGAGAACCAAGAGTCTTGGATAAATGAAATTGATGTTTATATGAGGGGAGGTGGGTTAAAGGAAAAGGCATTAGTTTATTAACAAGTATAATGTTTGTTGAAAAGTTTTGAAAAGCATTGAAACTTGAGGCTCTCTTTCCTTTTCTTTTTCCCGCAAACTTTTACCAAAAAATTGTTGTTCACGTTGAGTAATTGTTACAAAATTTGGCATGCGGTTTATTTAGGGCCGCAAAAAACATAACTGTTCTTCACGTTTAACCTAATTTGAAGTGGGGGAGAGAAAAAGAGCCAAATTGAACAATGAGGATGGGGGCTAAAGAACTGAACTCATTGCAGATGGTGAAAAAAGGCTGAAAAAACCGAACTCAACAAAATAATCAAACTGCCTTTTTTCTAATACAAGTTAAAGGAAGACAACAAAAACAACAAACACCGAGGAATTTATTCTGCGTAAATAAAAACGAAAAGTTTCTTTCAAAAGTAAGTCGTTTTCAGCCTTCTTTACTCAATCGCAAAGAAGGTCAAAGCTAACCTTTCAAACACATATTGAGCAAAACATTTTGGTTTCAATTTGAAAAACTGGTTTTTCACATTGTAAAACTTATAACAGATGAATTAATCACCATTCAAAAAGTCATTACAAATTATGGCAAGTTAAGACTTTTTTGAAAACGGCATTTTGATTGTTTAGGAAATTTAAAAAACTTTTGAAGTTGTTTGTCTTAAAAACTGACCGAGTAAGCGCATGTGACTCCGCAGAAAATGAAGTAGACAAAAGACACAGCCAGTCGCGTTCTCTCAGACTGGGCTAGTTGGGTTGCTGACGTCTGTTGCGACTGCTGATGTTCGCCCTTGACGCTCTTCGTCTCACAGATAGAAACTCCTCCCAGTCCCCCATCGGAGTCTGCATCACTGTCCACTCCGATAAAACTCCCCCCACCCACTGCGCCAGTTCCCATTCGCACTTCAAGCAGCTGGTGTTCGTCGCTTTGAGGAGATGCTGATCTTGAGGAGACAGTTGACCGTGGAAACATATGAAGTCAGGGACGTCTCGAGGCTCTTTTTTCTTGTAACCGTTTCTCTCTTTCAAATTTTTCGGCTCTTTTTCCTCTCCTCTACGTCTCACATATGCATAAATTTTACATTTTACCGAGGGGTTTTACAAGGTTTGAGTATTATACCAAATATGATTGTCATGGTTTAATTAGTCTTCATGCCAATTTTTTTATCAAGAGGAAATTCTGAACAAAAAATACCCGTTAAGAACTGCAGGTGGGGGAAAGAAAAAGGGCTCTTTTCTACTCCCCCTCCCCCCAAATTTCAAAAAATTCAATTTTATAGTTGTTTTACGTGTTATTATGCTTAAAAGAGTGATGTTACGATTTAAAGTATGAAGAACAAATTTGTTCACAATAATGAATTTGTTCACCATGTAAGTTTTTATTACGCTAAGACTATGTTAAAATCTTTTTTCAAAACTGAAAGTCAAAAGTGCGGAGGGGGGGGGGGGGTGGGTGGAGTGGAAAAGAGCAGGAAAAAGAGCCGTTTTTTTCATATGATCTCTGGTTTAATAAGTATGATCAATTATTTATTTTTGCCACATCAAAATTGTTTTTCCCCGACCCCCTCCGCCCCCCTCCCCCTTTATTTCAAATTTTAGTCCTTTTTCTTTTCCCCGTCTGCAAATCTTTACATGAAAAATGGGATCTACTTAACAATCTCCCCTCCCTCTCCCCCTTATTGTATCTTCTAAAGAATCTCCACCCCTGTAAATAAAAACAGTAAATTGGCACTAGAGCGTTGTATGTAAATTCGAATTTTGCTGCATTCTGATTGGTCGAAAATTCGCTGCAAGCAATCTACTTAACAATCTCCCCCTTTTCTCGAAAGGGGGTGGGGGAGAGATTGTTAAGTAGATCCGAAAAACATTTGTTCACATTCTCAGACAGATTGTTGTGAAAATTGACAAGGTGCACTAATAAAGCCATGAAAGACATATAAAACTAATGTAAAACATTGTAAAACCACCCATTAGACTATAAGATTGATGCTCAGGCGAGGGACAGGAAAACAGACCAAACTTTTGCTAAAAAGTTTCAAAGTTGTTTTTATAAGTTCTAAAGGCTACGTTTTTACGATAGAAACAAAAGAAGAAAAAATATGTTCAAGAAAGATGCTTGATAACCATGTATAAAATTTCACTGCATTATAACAACGCTAAAATCGCGTTTTTTTATAAAGAAACTCGACTTTGAGGGTAAGTAGAGGAAAGAGTCATCATTTTCTCCAAGCTGTCAAAAAATTTTACATAAACACTGCTTACCAATGAAATAAGACAAGTATATATGAGTGCAATACTGAAACTCTTAATAAATTGCAATAGTTGATACTCAAAACAAAACGCCAAAATAAAGTTTTTTAAACAATAACGACATTTTCTGACTTAGCCAGACTAGTTTGTCGGTTGACTTTATTGTGTACTGAGTTGACTTTATGTCTAGATTGTTTTGCTATATATAGCGAATAATTAGAAATTTGATGTCGTTTTTAAACGAATGGTATCACGTACATTTAGACTGTAATTTGCTCGTTTTGGAGATGTTTATAAGAGCCGAAAAAAATTGTTATCATATCACAGTTCGAAAAAACTTCTTGCAATAAAAGTCGTTTCATTGAGCTCAGTGGTCACCTTGATAACGCAATCTTGGGAAATTTTTGATGAAAGCGATTCAAGATTTTTAGTGGAGTTACAGAAGCAGAAAAAAATCTTTCAAATCGAAATTTTTACGCACTGGGCATTGGTGACCTCAACTCAGCTACAAATTAACTTTATTGACTCATTAAAACTTACTCAGCTCATTGCTAAACTTCAGGAAGCTCAAAAGCGTAAACGTCCCCGCATTACAGGAAGTTTATAAGAATACACAACCTTAAGACCAATTTGTAGAGCTTCAAAGACTCTGACATAAAAAAATTTTGTCGGGTTTCAAATGGTAAGTTGCCGTATCTGTGTAGTCTTACGTCTAATTGCATCACTAGAAGTTTTGACGCCAAAATGTTAATTGATTAATGAAATTTTGGCATGACATGGAATTGTACAGAGCATATAAGCGCGTCTATGCGCGGTTTTCAGCTAATAAGAGAGTTTCATAACCTCATGAGAAAAAATGCACCAGAGATTGAGTGACAGTGTCATCCGGCCGGATGATGGCAAACCTCTAAATGAATGTTAGATTTATACATACTGGTTTAACGACCTAGATTTTTGCTATTAACTGTCTTCTCATCAGAGAAATTGTATTTTCAGTGGTTTGATTAAATTGGATATTCAGTTGTTGTTGTTGTGGAAGCATGAGTTTATCGGTTTACCAATACCTTCAGATTCAAGTGTAGAAATTGTCACACGTTACCGTTTGACATGACGCAGCCAGCATAATATAAAACCCAATGATAATCTCCCCATTCTGGCAACAGGCGTCAGCAGCGCAATCGATTGAATGGTCAAAATGGTAAGCCACCATCAAGATGGCTACAATCGCGACAGATAGAATTGAAGTGAGACACCAATAAGGAGACAAGCCGACATTAGTAGAGCCAACTGAGCCAATATATGAACTCAAAATTACGAGAGAAACTGAAGCACAGGAAATTAGGAGAGATGCGAGAAACCAAGAAAATAGAGTGAACTGGGGAAAAAAGCGTCACCAAAACGAGAGAAAAAGGAGTATCGTGCAACTCACTGAATTGTAATAAAGCAGACACCAAGATCAGAAGTTAAATATTCAAATGTCTCGGAGCAGAATCTCAACTTCGACTGCAGCCAAAAAAAACCTGGACAAAACCTCCAATCAGTAAGGTTTTGTCCAGGTCTTTTCCTTACTGATTGGAAAAATTTGTCACCACGAAAATAGTTGCATTCGGAAGATGCCAACATTAACTCAGAAAAACAGCTAAAAACTGAGTATTTACAGCAGTTCATGTTATCATTGTTGAATCGGCATCACAAGCAATTATCAACAATAAAAGTGGCGGAAACGTAGTAACCACAGGATGCATACGAATATGCGACTAGGCAAGAAAAAAGCATATCTTATACTTAGAGGATGAAACTAATCCGCTTCGTCCATCGACATCACACGAACAGACTGAACAAGAACACATGGGTTATATTCAGCCACGATTTCAGTTACCAGGACTAAAAGAGACGCGGCCAGTCAAGAAGACGACAAAAGTTCCCACGATGATATTTTAGTTCATGAGGACGACAAAAACTAAGGAGGACAAAACAAGACCGGTTACACGTACGACAAAAACGTTCGAATCAAATAATTCACGGAAATATTCAGCAAAAGATGGTAACTTTGCAAAACGCGCTAGGTGGGGACATTGCGCAAAAGTGTGTAGGGCACCAGACGTCAATTATATACCAGAAAAAAAAAGCAGCCGAAAAATGAAAAAGATACCCTGGATGTAGAAGAAAACGACCCAGTGGCATATGAAAAAATCATAAAGCAAATAATTAAAAATATGCGTTCAAAAAATAAACAACGATAAATATACTGGAAAACGATGTAAAAGTTCACTGAGTTAAACTAAAAACCAGAACTGAAAACATTTTCGCTGTTACAGATTCATGAAGCCCAATATCAATCCTCAACGGCAACACAGACTTTTGAAATCAACCAATAGCACAGCAAAATTCAAATATATACCGCCAAAAACTTGGCTTTTCACCAATGAGAAAATATAATTCAAAAAGGAAGACTGATCATGGCCATCGAATCAGGGAGATGGATAATTCAATCAGCCCTTTCGATACTGGTACACGAACATAACAGAAACATCATCAGACAAACTTTTATATTAAAAAATGATATCCGACTCAAACAAGGCAAACCGAAACAAAATAAAATATTTTTATACAGGAAATGGAAAATTTAGACACAGAAATTATACAAAGAGTTAAGGATATATACCAGGAACTATGCATACGAATTAGAAAGGCAAAAACCTCGAATCGATAACATAAATTGTAGAATACGTATTTTCCATCCAACAGAAAAGAAGACGGACACCAATTCATCTTTAAGAACGAGAAGAAGAAAAATAAACTGATTGATCAAGAACATACTTTAAAGTTTGACAAACGCTTAGATAAACAAAAGCCCAATTGCGACAACAGTAAGAACGGATCAAACGGTTAAACTAGCACTGGACTTGAGGAATATCAATAAATTTAGCCAATAAGAGATGGTAAATATTGATCTACTCTTAGAAAATATTGCACAAATCGTTAAATCAATCAACAAGGAACTAATGTTGTTTTCAACGCTAGATTTACATTTTCAACGCTTGATTCAAAAGCAATGTTGCTCAATAGCGATGAAATCGAGTAAACCAAAAACTACTTGTTCCTTTCGTGCAATTTGAGTTCTTCGGAAATTTTTAAAGAAAAAATTCATGGGGACTTCAATGGGGGGCATTCCAGTTCTTCGAAGTATTTCTCATTAGTTCGTTTCTTAATGAACCAGATGTCCAACAGAGCTTTGCATCTTGGCACTCGGCTAAAAACAATTCGTAACAATGATCCGATGCAACAAATGTAGTGATAAATAGTTTTCACATGAAGGACTCTTGAGACTCCATTCTGAACGCTAAACAAGACGAATTATTCAGCAAGAACTTTACAAAAAAAATTAAAAAACGGATGTTTCAAATCCAGCAACTTTGTGAATAAAAACGTGAAATGTTTGAACAATTCCGAAGCCTGAGTCAGGTGGGAAAAGTTTATCAAACACAAAGGCGAAGCTGCAGCTCGCATACACAAGCAAAAATATGACCGATAACTCTACAGGGAAAACCTGAATGAGCAAAACTTTGAATCTACAAAAATACTTAAGTGACGCACGCCAATTATGAGTCTACATAATTGCTAAGTGACGCAAGCCAACTATGACCCAATGACAGTACCAGTAAAAAAAAAGATATTTACCAGCTAACTTTTCTAAATTTATAGAGCGTACGCATTTTAGCTCATTAACAACATCCGACCCTGCCCAGGTTCGAACCTTCTTATTTCGTTGCGGTTCTCTTTCCCTACCTCTACGCTACAGATCCATGATACCTTGAAGTTAAACTGCTATTTGTAATATAACAGTCTGTGTTAATATCCTTAGCATTGGCTGTACTTAATAGCTGGTTATTGATCAAAATGAACACATTTTGTCTCAACAATATTTGCGTCGCTACAATATTTGCGCATTGAGTTGAAAAAAAAGTTCAAACTCTAACACAAGCTTTGCCTGTGCAAACAGCTTAAGGTTACCTATATAATTCATGGTATGCTTTAGGATGCAAGTGGAACCATAATAGAAACACCTTTGTCCTGAGCAGAGGCATAATTTGTGAAAATAAAGTGAGTTTCCTCCGCGAATTTTGAATTTTGTACGTTCAAAGCACAACCCAAACGAGCTGCTAGTGACGCGCACATTGTTGGGGCTGAATTTTTCGATAAATACTTTTGAAGATTGTAAGGAAAAAATGGGATAAAGTATTCTCGGGTGAACTTCGGGAAATATCAGAAGAAAGGGTAATCTGGTTTCCCTTCGCTGATTGAATTGGAAATCATTCGTCTGTTTTCATCTTAGCTTTTGATAGGGATGTGCTTTATAATTCTGGTGACATGACAGTTACCAAGAAATGTTCTCCGACGTTTCATATCTTCGAGGTTGCTTAAAAATAATAACAAAATTGTTTTTTTTTGAACAATCAGAAAATTTAAATGTTAGGTTAGGGATTACAGGCGTAATTTTCACATACTCGCTTTAAAGAGGACACTGAAAAAGCCATCATGTTGTCAAAAAATCGGGCTAACTTTTCGGTTGAAAAGCTTGTGAAGTCGACGGTCTTTATTTGAAAACCGAAGTGATTTGAAGAACTTTTGTTCGTTCCGCAAGCTGTTGCACTTTTGGTATAATGGCTTTATTTTTATAATGCACGACTTTGCACATTGAAATTTGCTACTCATGTTTTCCGCGACTCATGCAGAGAATTTGCGCAACCCATGCTGCGATTTTGCGACACTCATGTTGCGACAATAAGCGACTCAAGTAGCGGTTTTGCGCGACCCATTAAGCGCTTAACCAAAATAACACGTAACACAATCTTGAAAAAGGACATTTTGAAAATTGGAGAGTGTGGAAGAGAGCAGCAATGGGAAGTATGAAGACAAACGTGTTACGATAAAAAAAATTATTCACCCTTCAAAATTTCGTTTTGGTTTTATCCAAAAGAGTTGGGGGGCGGGCGAAAAGGATCAACCACTGCTTAATTAGTCCGCATACCAATTTATATAACAATCGAATAATGTGAACAAAAAACAACCTTACAAAGGTGGGGGGGGGGGGGGCGAAAAGGCTCTTTTCCTTCCCCCCCTCCACCTGCAATTTTATACCTGTAAAGGTACTGTTCACATTGTCCGATCATGATGAAAATTGATATGCGGACTAATTAGGATATGCCAAACACTTAAATTGCTTGGAAAGTTTAATAATTGCTTGGAAAATATCACGGTTACGAATTCTTTAAATGCCCAAATTTGGTAATTATATTCAATTATAACTGTCAAAAACTCAACAAAATAACCTGTTTGATTTATTTACATGCGCCAAAACTTGGATGCAGGCCACGATGCCTTAGCTGTTGTTTAGTTACTCACCATGAACATGTGGAATTTTAACTCCGAGAAAAGAAAAAAGAGCCATACTTCACAACTTTCACAACTGAAAGAATCGGCCGAACGAAGAAACGTACACTACGATAAAATTAAGCGCAAACTCAGGTTTCTACTCTTTAAAATGCCTGTTTTCAACGTGCTTCTTGACAACATTTCCTCAAAAAATTTACCTAGACCAAGAGCAAATCATCAGAGTTTCTATCTATGAAATTATCAATATTTGGTTTCAAAGGCTTGCCAATGTAAACTGTGTCTGAAAATGCCAGAAGAGTAAAAAAACTTGGTCATGCGAAGTGAAACATTTTCCACGAGAAAATTAAAATAATTAGTGTGAAAACTGTTCTAAAATCGGATGTTACTTACTTTTTCACGCGGATTGAATAACTGTGCGGATGAGAAGAAAAATTGGCTTTATAAGACCCGGATTACATTTGTAAATCTTTGAAACTATATGTTGATAGTTTCATAGATTGTAGCTCTGATGATATGATTTGCTCTTGTCTTGGTCTAGGTAAAAATTTCGCAGAAATTTGAAGTAAATGTTGTGAAAAAAGCACATTGAAAACAGGAACTTTAGAAAGTAAAAACCTGAACTTTGTCAACTAGTGTAAGTTCGCACTACCAACAGCTGAATAATTTAAGCCAAAATTGTCAAGCAAAACGTCGCATAAGATTTCGTAAGATGTCGAAGTGATGAGAGGTAATGTTGTCACTCATTTATCGATGACATGTATGGACGAAAGAATATAGAATTTTAGTTGTAATATGGTGCCAATCTTTACAATCGATCCGCAATAGAGCACACGGATAAAATAAGGATAAAACAATTTCTTGACATTTCAGTGGGTTTTCTCATTATTCACATTGTCTCCATAGCTTTATTATGTAATCCTTTTTCTCAAAACTCCAATTGGAATTGTTCTACCGTTTTGACAAGGGTTTTGATCGTCATTATAAAGCAATCGAATTATAAATTGATAGGGTAAAAAGGCGTTACTTTGTATTCTCAACTTAATCAGAAGGTCCCATCTTCAAACTTCGTTTTAAAGTCTCACACGCCTTGCTATGTTGTCAAGATTGCGAAGATTTATCAAAAGTATGGCGATATTAGTTTCAAAATTCAGCAAGATTATTATCAAGTTTTAAGGTTAACTCAAGAAGATGTTCTTAATTCTTGGTGGCTCTTAAGCTTAATGATATTGGTTCTTTTAGTATGATAATGAAACTATAATGGACTGCGAATACCACAATAGATTTGACCAATTAATCTCAATGGAAAATAGAATTACTTGATGTACTTTTATTTGTGATGGCATGTGCGAAATTGTGTCACGATTGTCTGTTCTTTTTCTGTCTTCTGAAAGTTTCCACACACATAAGTGATTTGTGAGTGTTAACAAATAATCCGCCAGACGCCATTTGGCTTCATGTCAAATAACGTCACTTCACAATATCGACACTTCAAATATTGTCAGTTTGTTCATTCGTTTGTTTCAGTGGAATTTCTTGAATTTAGACTTTTTTAAAGCTATTCTCGGTTATAAAATTTTTGTTAAAGTGAAATAATTGAGAGAAATTGAAGAAAAAAGAATCCGAACGATTAATAAGAATGGGTAAGTGTGAAATAATTGTTAAACTGCGTGAAACACTGCTGTTTGAGCACTTTTTCACGTTTCAATCAACGAAATCTTTTAAAGTTGAACAAATTAAACAGAAACTTAAGCTAAAAATATTTGATAAAAAAGGATTGAAACGAGCAGAGCCCATAGAATTATTCGGAATGCTCCTCCAATTCATATAGGTTCTTCAATTTTTCGATTGAGCGACAACGCAAAAGTCAAAAGTACTGAGACATATGCTACAAAATGGGCAAAATCATTATCGCAAAGTGGACAAAATTAACCAATCCTTTTTCATAATGTTCATAACTGATCAAATATAAAATCATAACGACGCCACATTCCGTTACATTTGTACTGGTTTGGGTTCCAAAGATTGTCTCTTTTTCCTGCAAAATTTGAACCATATTCCACGTGCGATCGTTGATTTGGAATCGAAGGACAAATTATCAAACACAAGGCGAATTGATTTATGTCACAGGACTCCATAACAACAATTATTTTGTCAGATTTTGTGAAAGCAACATTTATGTTTGCATTTCGTAGCTACAAAAACCCTTGAGACGTAAAAGTTGTGTCTATGGAATCCAGAAAAAGCAAGCATAATTTCGAGTTATTTATAAGTCCAAGTTTGGCGTCGTTATGATTTAAGTGTTGGAAAACGGCAGAAATTGGAGAGTCTAATGACAAAGATTTTACCTTTCCAGGAAAAGTATCAATATATTTTCGATGTGCTGTTTAAAACTTTGTCTCATAAAACCATAGATCCGATTCTGCTGAAAAATGATACAGCGCACAACAAAAGCACAAATTTTTACTTCTCAGCTCAGAGAGGTGTAAAATTTTCAATTAAATAAACCAGCTCTATAATTTAATGGTTGGACTATCTCAGGGGAAAAGCGTTTTCATTTTCCCCCACAGAATTATCAATTTTATGGGGTAAACAGTAATTTTACGAGGTATGTGTATGAGAATCAAACATGTCCCAAATTTGTTTTTTGATCACTCTGCCATTGTTTTACAATTGGGCCGAACAGGCAATAATTTGTAAAAGGTTGATAGAAAATGAACTCCAATCCAATATACCAATTAAGGGCTCGAACCTCAATTGTTTTTGCGTAAAAGCGAATTGTTGTTTCTGCGGCAGACTACTTGTTTAGTTCATTCGTAGACTTGCAACTCCATCAAAAGCAGTTTCCGACAATTAATAACTGTGGTTAAATAACTTTTTTACGATCTGCGTTAGGAGGGAGACTTAAAGATATTGTTTAATGTTTGAATTTTAAGTTAAATCCTTCAAATAACAAGGATTGACTAAACCACGAATTAATAAATTCGGACTACCCTTGTTTTCAACTTCACGAATAGGAACCATAAATCAAATATAGGCACTCAATTATACGGTATTTGGAGCGGTCTAGAAATTGAGAGGCTTTCAAAACTGCTACTATTGCGTACGGGTCCCTTCGACTTCAGAAACAAATCAACATTTGAATTCCGTCATGATAATTCCTAATACTCTACACCAACTACTAATGAAGTGTAATCAAGTACGTCGAAGAACCCAGCTAGGTCATCTTGTGTTGTGGTCTCTGATTTAAGAGACACGATTTGGATTTCAAAAGAAATTTCAAAAAAAGTTGTTCAAGAAAAACATCAGAAAGTTCTAGTTTTTCTAACATAAATTCACCACCCATACATGTCATCGGGGCGCATTGATTGCCGTGCGTGACTCCACCCTCCTGACTTTATCTATAAACCCCATCAGCTGCCCGCAAAACATATAGGCAAGATGTTTGGGGCATTTTGGTTTGGAACTCAAAAACAGGACGAAAACAATGAAACATTTACAACGGCCGCTTTCTTAACGCCATTGAAATCAATCAGGTCTTCCAAGTTAGCAAACGCCAACCTTATAAAATGAGAGGATAGCTTTGCTATATCACTTTCAACTATTTTTGTAGCTTATTATCCATACGAACTCGTACGTCATCTGTTAAAACATTTCGAAAAAACCATGTCGAAAAAAACGAATATTTTCAATTTTTAGGGATCTCAAAATCCATTGCCACGATTACTGCAGCTGGAACATTCTTTGCTACTTGCAGAGCAGCTTGTTAAGCTTCTATCTTAATAGCATAGGCTGCTTCAATCATCTCATTGGTATGAATTTTTTTATCGCTCGTATTGTCGCTGCAGATGCCATGTAGTCACCTCATCTCCTGGGGGATTTATAGCGCGAGCAAATCGCCTCCTTCTTTTATGCCGCGCTAATATGCATGTGGATATGTTTATGTCTGTAATTTCAGCTTAATTAAAGAAACTTAATTAAACTTTTTTTAACCGGCTGGGTAATATTTCAGTCCGCAAACTGCTTCTTGCTGTCTTGGGTTTTGAAAATTCATTGCAAATGATTTGAATTGTGACGCGTTAGAAAACAATAAGCTTTGTTGAAAGGAGAGTCAGTAGCAAAAGGATAGACAATGTTGGACAAAGTTTATCAAGGTTGATGGCAATTAAGTCTTTGTCGCTTGTTCCTTTAGATCTTGCCTCTCTTCGATTCTGAATTGGATAGATGAAGTGACTTAAGCCTCTTCCTCCTCCTCCTCTTCGAATTCGCCCTCCTCCTCGGCGGTGGCATCCTGGTACTGCTGGTACTCAGAGACCAAGTCGTTCATGTTGCTCTCGGCCTCAGTGAACTCCATCTCGTCCATGCCCTCGCCAGTGTACCAATGCAAGAAAGCCTTTCGTCGGAACATAGCGGTGAACTGTTCGCTCACTCGCTTGAACAGCTCCTGGATGGCGGTGCTGTTTCCGATGAAGGTGGCCGACATCTTCAGACCTCTGGGAGGGATGTCACAGACGGCGGTCTTGACGTTGTTGGGGATCCATTCGACGAAGTAGCTGCTGTTCTTGTTCTGCACGTTCAACATCTGTTCGTCAACCTCCTTCATCGACATTCGGCCTCTGAAAATGGCGGCGACGGTCAGGTATCGCCCGTGTCTGGGGTCGCAAGCGGCCATCATGTTCTTGGCGTCGAACATCTGCTGGGTCAGCTCGGGGACGGTCAGAGCTCGGTACTGCTGCGATCCACGCGAAGTCAGAGGAGCGAAACCAGGCATGAAAAAGTGGAGACGAGGAAAGGGGACCATGTTGACAGCCAATTTCCTCAAGTCAGCGTTCAACTGACCGGGGAATCGGAGGCAGGTGGTCACACCCGACATGGTGGCTGATACCAAGTGGTTCAAGTCACCGTAGGTGGGGGTGGTCAGCTTAAGGGTTCGGAAGCAGATGTCGTACAAGGCCTCGTTGTCAATGCAGTAGGTCTCGTCGGTGTTCTCAACCAACTGATGCACAGAGAGGGTGGCGTTGTAGGGTTCCACGACAGTGTCAGACACTTTGGGTGAAGGTACAACGGAGAAGGTGTTCATGATTCTGTCGGGGTATTCCTCTCGGATTTTGGAGATCAGCAGAGTTCCCATTCCGGATCCAGTACCACCACCCAGAGAGTGAGTCAGCTGGAATCCCTGGAGGCAATCACAGCCCTCGGCTTCCTTTCGGACGACGTCCAAAACGGAGTCGACGAGCTCAGCTCCTTCGGTGTAGTGTCCCTTGGCCCAGTTGTTACCGGCTCCAGATTGACCTAAAAGCAACATGCAACTCTTCAATCTACAAATCTCTTGAAAAGTCACTTAAGTCACAGCAGTTTCATTTAATGCTGACAAGAATAGATTTGAAACTTACCGAAAACAAAGTTATCGGGTCTGAAGATCTGGCCGAAAGGTCCAGACCTCACGGAGTCCATGGTTCCGGGCTCCAAGTCGACCAGGACGGCTCTAGGGACGTACTTGCCACCGGTGGCCTCGTTGTAGTACACGTTGATTCGCTCCAGCTGGAGGTCGGAGTCTCCGTGGTAGGTTCCGGTGGGGTCAATGCCATGTTCGTCAGAGATGACCTCCCAGAACTAGAACACAAAAGGTTTTTAAAGAAATAATTCGCATCTTGATTTTACATTTTTATCTTAAATTCGAAAATTTGTTGTACTGTTGTTTTTACTCGTTGTGTGTAGATAACATTTAACACCGAAATGAATAGGGGGAATTGTACAAATGGGTTCTGGACTTACCTTAGCTCCGATCTGGTTTCCGCACTGTCCGGCTTGCAAGTGAACGATTTCCCTCATTTTGGTTGATTTGTTGGTTTTTTAGATTTATAAAGTGGGGGCGAGAAGAGAGCGAGCAACTGAATCTGAAGATACAAAGTACGATTTAATCAAAATATGGCCGCCGAAGAATTAGAGCATAAAAAGAGCAAAACAAAACAGAGCACGCCAATTAATCAGCACAACACCAAACAACTGATGGTCTTGTTACCAAGCGATCGTCAAAACACGGCCAAAAGTGAACAATCAAGCCACCATACCATTCAAAACAGAGCCACTCACTTCAGCAACAAAAAATAATCTGCTCAAAATACTGCACCATAACTGCGACGCAGTAACGTGTATATAATTTACCAACTATTGACTATATATACGATGGTTATAGTACTTGAAAACGTAAAAGCTTGGTAAGTTTTGAACAATTTTTGAATTCCACGTGCAAAACTACTACTAAACATACCATGTAATACCAATATGGTCGGCTAGAAATGCTATAAATGGCCGGCTAGTAATGTTAAGAATGCGAACTGAGTTTTTTAGTATCAATTTTGCATGTTTCCAATGATTCAATATTATTATTTTTATATTTCCTTGATTAAAAACTCATCGCCGGCGGCAAAAAATAAATACCGACCACGTCACTGTTAAATAAAATTTTTAAAAAAGAGCGTTGTCGGCGCGCACTTCAGCAGCAGGTAATCAGCAGGCGGTGAGGTGAGCAGTTAGATCGTTCGCATTGTGGACTCATTTTGGAGTCGAAAGTAAGATAGGTTCAAAAAGGCCCCTTTTCAGGAAAAAGCTTGTTTTTCTGAGAGGTGAGTGGAGAAGGCTCTTTTCAGGGGGGGGGGGGGTCACAAAGTCTGATGAAATCTGAACAAAAACAGAGCCAAGACTAGAATCTTAAACATCAAAATCGTCGCCGCATTTGAAGATCTAATGCATTGAATGCAAACTTTTTACATTTTCATTTTTTTGTTAAATGGTAGCAATTAAGATTTCCATAAATATTTGATTTTCATCGCAAAAACTTGCTTTCATGTTAATCTAATGCTAAATGCAGTTCGTTTAATAAAATTTTCTAATTGAAAAGTTCATTTCTAATATTAGATATAAAAACAATGGTAAATGAAACTTTTTTTGGTGGTGTTCCTTGAGCCCATTAACCCCCTTTAAAGTTTCGGAAGAGGTGAATAACTAAGGCTTCTATGAAGTTGTGGATGTGTTGTAGGATCCAAGAGTACTTTCAAGTGATTAAATATAGTCGCAATTATGGTCTTTTGTCCCAAATAAATATTGTAAAAACAGGAAGAAAATGGTCGTCTAAAAATGTTATTTATGACCGATTGATCTCAACTACGTGCACCAAAATGACAGCGTTGATTAAAAAATCAGCGTCGTTGAAAATATTTCAAATATTTAAAGAGTAACTTGACAACAATTGAAAAGAAGCTCAATCACAATTTACTTTTTATTTATTTATTATCCTCTTACTATTATCATCAAACAACTATCATCTTACTAGCACAAAAAAAGACAAATTGCCAATTACTCAACTATTAGACTGAATTTTATTTCTAGGCCGTTTGTGGCACTTTCAATTCCAAAATAAAATCAATTCCCAAGTTACGGTTTATTGCAGTGTTCACACAACTACCAGTTCCACTTCAGAATTTTTTAAAAATCAAAAAAGAAAAAAGGAATTTTACCATGTTTACAGTACTTTAACGAACAACATATTTATCTGCAATAAAGAAACAGACAGCTAAGATGAACAACCATAAGTTCTTTTTACACTATTCCGAGCATAGCCAACAGACCGATGGACACGTGTCAATAAACTCAAGATTATCAAAAACCAACTGATTCCCCCCCCCCCAAAAGTTTCAAAGAAAAACAAGAATAGCCGGCTGCTGTGCAACTAGCACAAAATTTTCTGACCAGATTCGTAGAGCTTTAAAAAAACTGTTTTTATCTTCAAATTAGCATCGTTTCTTCTGCGAGGTGTGATTATAGAACTATACAAACGCGAAAAATGTTAGTAAATTAGGCATAAAACTGGAACCTGATACAAACTACATTTTATGATTGGATAAATTAGATATTTTACCACGGTAAAGTATTTAATATTAACCAATCATGATCCATCTAACTA